AAACTACATCTACATGTAGGGAAAGCAGAGTCGCGATTCCATCTTATTAATAAATTAGAGGCAAATTATACGTCAGACATATCTTCAGCAAATAAATCATTCATTCAAAAAAATGAATAGTAATTACTTACATTGTATTAATACATGTTTGCTATCCACACAAACATCTCAAATTGTAAATTCGTTTATTGAGTGTCCTGGTAACACTTACTCACTACTTTATTAACTAATTACTAATTAACAGCAATGACTTAAAAATATAATCGCAATTAAACAGTTAAATCGCTACTTCAATCTCTAACTTACTTCTTCTTTAGTAGCACAGTTTCAAATCAAGACTAACTTGGCTATATAATTCAAGTTTTGATCCTAGTGACGCCACCTCTGGATACACCCCGGTACCAGTCTACACAGCCCGTTGGCGTAACAGCATGAAGACATTATATAGACAGATATACCGAGTGTCACTGATATATAGTTCACTCCCTTTTTTTGTGTAATTTTTAACTTAGAAAAATGATATTATATACAGTCACAAATAAAAAGACATGAATTGACATAAAAAAAGTATTTATCACTTCCTGTTTCAACGACATTTCAGCAACATTTTAATTTGTATCATGACCACCTGTATATTTTTGCAGTTTTGAATAGAGCAAATTCGTCAATGTGACATACTTCAGTGTTTGGCTTTTGTTTTTCGTTATTATTAGCGATATATTATTAAATGTAGAAAACGCAGTAGGATTATAAAAATTTTGAATGTACGTTTCAAATGAAGTTCTATTGTTATTAAATATGATTTGAACGAAACAACTACTCAGTGGGCAAATACCCTGATCTGCATTGGATTATACTTTCAAATCATGATAGATCGGTAGCCAATATCATTTGTCAATTCTTAACCAGACATAGACCGGTTTCGAACTTATTAGTTCTCCTCAGTATGCCATAGGTTATGGAACAGACAAATGATAGTGGCCAACCTACGAGTCATATACTGACTAAGGTAAATTGAGTAGTGGTGAAAGGTATGCTTCACAAGTCGCTATCCGCCACAGAGACATCTATGATGTCGGTCGACTAGTAACATTTGGACCATATGAGAAGTTGCACATACCTCTCACCACTACTCAATTTACCTTAGTCAGTATATGACTAGCAGGTTGGCCACTATCATTTGTCTGCTCCATAACCTATAGCATACTGAGGAGAACTAATAAGTTCGAAACCGGTCTATGTCTGGTTAGGAATTGACAAATGATATTGGCTACCGATTTATCATGATTTGAAAGTATAATCCAATGCAGGTCGGGTTATTTGCCCGCTGAGTAGTTGTTTCGTTCAAATCATATTTAATAACAGTAGTTTAGTCCACTTGGGCTAGAGGTCGCCGCTCTCGGTATTTGCTTCGCAAGTCGCTATCCGCCACAGAGACATCTATGATGTCGGTCGGATAGTAGCATTTGTACCATATGAGAAGTTTCACATATCTCTCACTACTAATGAAGTTCTATTGTTTTCTTAAGGACTATTTCTATTGTATTATGTACAAAGATATTAAGTACAATGGTTTGAAATTATTTTTCACTCTTTCTATGAAGTAACTTTTTTTAAGGGTCCTGTGTTTTAAAATTACAAATAATTCTGATATTTCACATATAAACCTGGGTTCGATTTTATATATTACATCAAGTATTGAACTCGGGGGGGGGGGGGGTGAACCATATCTTAGACACCCGGTTTAGTGTATATTTTTCAATAAGGTTATTAAACAAGTTTAATATTTCTCAATATTTTCAAGAGGGTTACACCATATGTTGACCACAAAAAAGCAATTAATAATTAAATTACGCAGTATTTTCTTTCTTTCTTTCAAATTTACTCTGTCTCGGCACGGAATATTTATTGTAGTCACGCAAGAAATTTTAAATGTCCCATAACATAAAGCAAAAGACAAGTGTGTTGTCTTTGTATATGTAAAAACAATTTAAAAATGGATTAATCGATTTTGTAAACAAGTTCTTTCATCAGATCATTTCTGCAGTTTTTCCCGAAGATTGAGGTATGTACGTTATTACTAGTAAGAAAAATATAAAAGACAAACTTAGCACAGCTCGAATGCTATCCGCTATTTTTATTTAAATATGGATCATTCTTACTCAATATAGAAGCTTAAATGAAAAGTAGATCTTATAAATGTGGGAGTCTGTATGTCAATTACTTTTAATATTTGCGAGATGGGGTTTTGGAAAAGAATTGTTGTCTTACCCATTTTTGATTTGCCTTGTGCTGTTTTATTTCTGATTGTTCCACATAGTACTCTGTGATACTTATATATAATATAATTATATATAATCTACAGTTTAAACCGTTAGGATAAAAATGAAGCTCTCTTTCTACAAAGATATCTCATATTTATTTTGAACTATACGTAAATATATATATGAATTCTCCTCTTTTCAATATAATAAAAAGCAAACATTTTAAGCATTCACCCGTCTTTATTCTCATAAGAGCACACACCTATTATAATGTAGGGAGCGTTTTAATATAATGAACTAAACACGCATTTAGAATAAATTAAATTTTAATATTATAATACGAATTTTATTCGTCTAAATTCTTAATTATAACTAAAATTTACGTCGTATAATCTGGCACAATTTATGCGTGTTTCTTTGAGAAACAGTATAATATTCATGCTAAAATACGACTGATTTTTACTTTCTTATACCTAATATAAGGAAGTATAGTAATCGTTATTTTTTACTACCTCGAGATTTTGATTGATTTATACGTTTGAACCCTCCTGAATCCATTATATTTTCCAAATTATGTCATTGGGTGCGGGCTTGTGTGTGCGTGTGGGTGTGCGTGAATGTGTGTGTGTGTACGTACGTACGTACGTGTGTATCCACGATAACTCAAAAAATACTAATGGGAGACTTTCCAAATTTGGCAGTTAAAATTGTCAACAACATTTTAGGTGACACATTAAATTTGGTGAATATGGTACCACTAGAAGAGACATAATAAATGAAAGAAGAAAATAGGTATAATTTCGGGAACAAAAATAAAAATTTTTATTGCATAACTTTATGAAAAAAAAATCTGTCCGCATGTCTGTAATATCGCGAAAGCAGCCACAGTTTTTGAGATAAAGCTTTCAAATATGGTACACTTATTCTAAAGGCCAAAGACAATGAAAAATTCGGTGATGAATAAAATTGGCCTTCTGAAAGGGGGTCTATGGGACCCAAACTTTTTGTATTTGACTTTACAAAAAAATATATTCTTGATGAAAGATTACAAATCAGGTCTACTATATCAAGCGAATAAAATATATTTTCCAAATACTTAAATAAAGCTGATGTAAACTGAAATATTTTACACATTTGGTCTCATAAAATGGGGCTAGGATAAATTTAACAATTTGACGTTTGAAAGGTCTGATTTAGTTACTAAAATGTCGATGTCAATAACAAAAAATTATTAAAATATATGATATATACTGGTACAAGAAAGTTATGTGCTGGTCACATTAAATATTTAATTTAAGCAATTTTGGTTTAAAATTGGACCGCGATATTTATTGCAAATGATTAACAAAGAAGTAGCAGTATTAACTAATCACCTAAACTACTATTAATTTACGTTTGTACTACACACATGCCGGAGAATCTGCATTACAAAACAAACACTTAATAAATTCTCTTAACAATTTTATAATATATTTCTAATGGAACTTGGAATCCCACTGGAAATACACGTGAGATTTGTTGATTATTTGAAGTAGTTCATATATCTTGTAGAGAAGAACTGATTCTATTAAAAATTGAGGTAATTTCTTTTTTATTAATTTGAGCAATTTAAAAAAAGTATAAATAATAATCACTGCTTCTTCAAACATGCTTTTATGTTAATTTTTTATTAGTAGAACATGCAGAACTAATATGTGATAAATTTGTTTTATATAAACCAACAATTTCGTGTATAAAGTCACCAATGTTAGTCACATAGTAATATTTATAAATTATTGTTTCGTCCATATAATAGATTTACATGGGTGAAAATAGCGTTGATTATATTTATGTATAGACATGTTTTTATATATTTATTGTGTTCTTTTTTGAAAATGATGTTAAGCATTTATTTTAATTCATGTTGTTTAAACTAAGCCCTTAAGATGATGAAAAGTATTATCGAAACGTCGTTTCATCGATGCAGTTTGTTTAATAACGCAGTACAATGTCCGAAAGCTCAATTGAAAATATTAATAATATTCTGACCGGATCCTTCGCCATTATTGTAAAAACGTCAAATGTTAATGAACTATTATATCTTTAATATAATTTGAGTATGTCCGAGAAAATTCGTTGTTGATGAAACGTGTTTAAATCAATTATAAAACCAATTATCTCGCTAAATAAAATTCGATTACATTATTGTTAAAGCGATATTGAGAACTGTCATATTTATTTGATTTGGTTTAGTAAAATGTCAATTTAAATACATTTTTATAAATTTTCAAATTATTATTACTGTCATAGAAAAAATAATGTATGAAACACTTGGTAAAAGTGATTTTATTTTGTTCGTGGGTTTGCTCTACTCGGCTTCGCCTCGTTCGCATACTTCCCCACTCACAAAATAAAATGGCACTTTTAAAGCGTGTAATAAATAGCTATATTTTTACGACATATCCGTATACCTCTTTTATTATTTAATTCCGAATCACATTTTGCATACAGTAAAGCAACTATAAAAAATATATGAGGTGTTCAACAAAATTATCTGGCTAAGCCAGAAGTTGAAGAAGTTCTTTTGTATCAGAAATTTAGTCAGAAATTGAGTTTTATGTTAAGCAGAATTTAAAAGAAATAAAAAATTACGAAAAGAAAATGTTATCACAATAAGCTTTAGAATACTGTACTTTTCATAAAGCTTTGATATAGCGTGGTTTTTCGGACAAGGTTATAAAAAAATGTATTTTAGTGGACATGGTAGTTGAGTGGGTAAAGCGCTTATTGCTGTTTACTCTGTACAGAATATCGATGGTTCGAATCCATCCCGGAGTAAGTTAGAAATTTTATTTATAATTTGTTTCGGATTAAGAAGGGAGAGAACTGTTGATGCCCTAGATGTGGTTCGGGCACCACAATAAACTATAGGACCTCGTCTATCTTTACTCAACACATAATCCTAGGATTTCCTGGAAGTTGCTTCGGTGACTTGAGAGGCGGTTAAGAAAACAAAAGAAAACAAAACAGAAAACAAATATGCTAAGACAGGCATATGTTTTGCTTCATGTTGTGGGGCATTTAAAATTATTTGTTGCGTAAATGCAGTACTTCGTGGTGAGACAGAGTAATGTACTATGTAATTTTATTATTTACTGTCTATTTGTGGTCAACTTATGCTATAACTCTCTTGAAACTATAGTATATTAAAAACATTTAACAACCCTACTGAAAAAGTTATCGCCAATGGACTGTGTACTGTATATACTGATTCCGGGCTGTGCTCAGCTATCGTTACTAGTATTAAAACTTGAATTAAATAGCCATGTTAGTCTTGATTTGGAAATGTGCGAATAAAGAAGAAATAAGTTAGAGACTGAAGTCGTGATTTCTAAGGCCTGATTTTTCAATCGCCTGTTAACCACTAGTTGGAGGTTAACTAATATGTAATGAATCATACGCATGTTCATTACTATAGTTTTGGAAATTCCCGTTAGTCTTGTGCTGTCGCGCACTTCCTGCCGACATATGATGAATCACGCAGATGTTCATTCCTAGAAGTTTCTGCAATTACCGTTTGGCAGGTGCTGCCACGTACTTCCTGCCGCCATGAAATATTGACGTCACCAAAGCCAGGATTTTGGTATAAATAGAATGGCCGTAGCCGAGGAAAGGGATTCAGTTTTCTGCTGACAACTATCTTCAGCGTGTTGAGCTGGGTAGTTGAGGAGTCTTGAGGGTGTTGAGCTTGACTCCATTTGGTTAGAAATCAGAATCCGACGACGAAGCCGCCCGGCTGAATGTCTGGTAGCATCTTGGGGTTTTGAGCGTGCTGAGCTTGACCTCCTGGTGTTGGTAGCCATTTTGCCGCTCTGCACCGCCGTCACCAGTCTAGTAATTATTTATCGCCGTGAGTCTTCAGCGTGTTGAGCTGGGCCCAGTGTTGGTAAATAGTTGCTAAACCAACCGCCGTCACCAGTCCCCTAATTATTTATTGCCGTGAGTCTTCAGCGTGTTGAGCTGGGCCCGCCGCCGTTAAATAATTTTCGAACTTGCCGCCGCATCGAATCCTAGATGTTTTACTTCAGTACTTGGAGCTGAAGCCCACCGTCACCGTGCATTCACCGAATTACACTCCCCGTAAATTAATTTCACCGATGTAAATAATATTTGTTAACTGTACTTGACTTGATTTTATTGTTGAAGAATTTGATTTTATGTTTATTTAACTTCATGTTTTGGATAAATGTTACTTTAATAAAATAAACTCCGTTACGAATACTTTGGGCTTTCTTATTTACAACTAACAGGAATCCTGGATTAATTCTCCAAACCAGCTATCCGAAAGCAAAGACTGTTACGACGCCCAAACATACTTCGCTACATATTTTGGGCGTCCGAACAGACATCGTTACAAATACTATGTTTTCATAAAAATTTATAAGATTTTAATATAAACTGTGCCAACTGAAAGCTATATATAAAACATTTGCTACTATAACCACTTTAAAAATAAACGTAAAATTTGAGAAAAGTTCTAAAGTGCAGGTTTAGTTAACACACGATTGAAAAACAGGGCCTAATTGTTTAACTATAATTATAGTTACCTCCTTCAATAAGTTGTTGTTCTTTGATAATAATTAGCTAATGAAGTAGTGTTTTCAGGACTTTCAATAAACGAAACTACGGTTTGAGGTGTTTATGGGGATGGCAAACACGTAACAATACAAAGTATTTTTATGTTTTTTAAATGAATAATTTAATTGCTGACAACACGTCTGACAAAATTTGTCTCTAATTTATTATTAAGATGGTTTCGCGACGCTGCCTTCCCTACATGTAGATGTAGTTTTAAATTATGCATATATACATCTAATCTAACACTAAATGTCACGACCTTTTTGCGGAACAGATACTTGCTTAATTTTAATTTAGCTAAGAAATTGTGACGAAAATTGAAACTGTATTTTGCTCACAATTTAATTACCCTTATTTGTTAATGGATCAAGTTTTATACCAATTAACTAATTTACAGTTTGTGGTAAAAAGAGACGATACCAAAAAAAAGTAAATTTTAGCCCCTGAGCGTTATGATGTGCAAATTTTGTTGGCACTATTAACAAAACTGGTGAAACGGTATTTTATCTTATCATATTATATTTGAAAAAATGCTTGATATCAATAAGGAATAAGTTGAAACAAATTACTGGCAATTATTTTGTACACTTCTACAAAAAACTTATCACAGATAGGCCTGTACTATTCGGGAAATACTGAATCGATTTTCGATTCGCAAAAAATATCGGTTCGAATTGATTAATCGAATCGTTTATCATAATTATAATCGATTCGCAAGTTTATATGCAAAAATATTTAAAAGGTAACGTAGGTAGGTTAATCCCATATGAGTAATTATTCATGATAAGGCAAACAGAAAAATTCTCATAAAATTCCTTTTATTAGTGTGACCGGTTTCGTGAACAAGTAAATTCCTGTGTCTGAAGATGTGAAGTAATTTACTTGTTCACGAAACCGGTCACACTAATAAAAGGAATTTTATGAGAATTTTTCTGTTTGCCTTATCATATTTAAAAGGTGTTGTGTTCTGCAACTCTCATTACCTACTTAGTAGACTATACAGGGTGTCCCAACTAAAAGTAAGCACCCTGAATAACTTTGGAGATAATTTTTTTTTTTTGAAAAATTGGTGAATCACGTCGACATTGTTTCCAGGGGGGACATATTTTTATGTAATACTTGTACACCTACCATCATCCCTCTACCCTACTCGACCACCCCCTCAAAAAATTCAAATGACAAGGGGAGTCGAGTGATAGATCTTTTGAAAGGTCTTTCAATTCTCTATATAGCTGTGTATTTTTTAAAACTTTTATCTATTCGTTCCTGAGAAATAATTGTTTCATTATTTTATGTTCGGGAAATAAAAATAAAAGAAGCAGTTTAAATTATCGTATATATTGTTCAAAATTACCCCCACTGACTTCCATACAGTAGTATAATCTGTCTTGAAATTCTGTACGAACATTTCTGAACACATCTGGAGTCAATAAACGGCATCCTCGAACAATTCTTTCACGTAACTCTTCTAGAGATGCGGGTTTTGTTGCAAATACTTTCGATTTCAAATGTCCTCACAGAAAGAAATCCAAGGGAGTTAAATCGGGTGGCCTAGTGGGCCACTCCACAGGACCTCTTCTTCCAATCCATCGCTCAGGAAACCGAATATCCAAAAACTGACGGACTGCTATAGCAAAATGTGGGGGTGCCCCATCCTGTTGAAAAAACAGTTCGCTCTCTAAAAGATTATCGTCTTCTTTGAGGATTTGGGTAATCATTGGGTCGATGTTATTTTCTAACAGATCGATGTACCTTTCGCCATTTAAATTGTCAGGAATAGAAAACGGCCCGACAATGTGATCCCCTAAGATGCCAGTCCAAACATTTAACTTCTGAGGCCTTTGGGTATGAGTTTCCATGAAAAATGTGGATTGGTTTCACTCCAATACCTACAATTGTGCCTGTTTACCTCCCCATTTAATTGAAATGTCGATTAATCAGAAAAACACGTATTGCACAGTAGATTGGCATTACTGTTTAATTGTTCACTAAAAATCTCACAGAATTCAAGCCGACGATCGGGATCATTTTCGTTTAATTCGTCTACCAATTTAAATTTATATGGATGAAATTTGTGGGCCTTTACAATTCGATGAACACTGCTTCGTGATACACAGGAAGCCTCAGCTACTTTCCTGATCGATTAAGTATTATCCATCTGCAAATAACCCAGAACTGCTATTTCGACTGCTTCATTCCTAATCGGTCGCTGAGATTCATGCCTTTTGTTTCCTACAGAACCTGTTTCCATAAATTTTGTCAGTAATTGTAAAACATACTGAGAACCAACTCTTCTATCTGGGTGATTTCTATTGAATATGCGCTCCGTAGCTCTAGCACAATTATCGTTTTTAAAATAAATGCTGACAATTTCTATTCTCTCCTGAAGGGTATAAACCATTTTGATAACTCACTCTGGTAAAAGGTATCTCGATTTAAAATTGGTTGTGAACAAATTAATGTTCAAGGACTATCAAATACTTATGAGTCTTTTATTATTCTACAACTAAACGGACAAGGAAAGTGTTTTTTGTCGAAAATACTCGTGTTGATTTGAAAGCACTAAAAAATGTAGTTTTTTTATAAATTCCAATACTCAGTGCCATGTATTTTAGATTTTTTAAACGATTTCGATTGTGTGTAAATATCAAAAATAAAATTACTTTCCTTAAGAACGAATTGATAAAAGTTAAAAGAAATACACAATTATGTAGGGAATTGAAAGACCTTTCAAAAGATCTATCACTCGACCCCCCTTGTCATTTGAATCTTTTGAGAGGCTGGTCGAGTAGAGTAGAGGGATGATGATAGGTATACAAGTATACAAGTATTAAAATATGTCCCCCTTGGAAACAAGGTCGACGTAATTCATCAATTTTTCAAAACATTTTTACCTCCAAAAAAAGTGTTCCGCTAGTGCTACTGCTATTTAAAATGAACAACAAATAATAGGCGGGAATTTTACATCTTCATGAAGAACAAATTTTTGAAATATATTTCCTATGTAAAGGGTGCGTTTAACAAACATTACCACAAAGTGTAATGTCTTTATTTTTATGGAAAATCCTTTTTATTTTCATATATTATTTAGATTCTACGTGTACCGATTCGATTCGAATCGATTTAGTATGCCGATTCGATTCGATATTTTAAATTTTTTTTTCTTGAAATGGTGAATCGATTCAAAAAGAACGTCGATTTGTCA